ATGACCGACGATCGCTTCGCCTGCAAGTTGATCCCCCTCCTTCGCCTCCTCACCCACTCCGCCATCGCCGATGTCCGACGAGAGATCCAGATCATGCACCACCTCACCGGCAACCGCAACATTGTGGAGCTTAGGGCGGCGTACGAGGACCAGAGCGCGGTGCACTTGGTGATGGAGGTATGCGAGGGGGGAGAGCTCTTCGAGAGGAAGTTCTACTCGGAGAAGAGGGCGGCGGGGATTTGTAGGGAGATTGTGACGGTGGTTAGGGACTGTCATTGCTTGGGGGTGATGCATCGGGATCTGAAGCCGGAGAATTTCTTGTTTCTGAGCAAGGAGAAGGAAAATTCCGTTGAAGGCGACAGACTTTGGGCTGTCCACTTTCCTTAAGGCCCCGTTTGGATAATGGAAGTATTAGAAGTAAGAAATATGTTATAGAAGTAACTTTCAAAACTATGAAGTAGGAAGTAGTGAAAATAGCACTTTTTTTGTTTGTTTCGTATATTTTTAGAAGTAATGGAAGTAGAACTTATTCTTCTTCATTTACTTTTTTTGTTTGGATAACATTTGGAAATATTACTAGCAAGTAATTTTATCAATGAAAATCTGTTAGAAGTAACCGATAAAGGAAATATTAATAAAAAAAGTTATTTATTTCCTAATTAATATGCATTTCAACTACTTCCGAGCTACTTCTGAGTATTAAGGATTGGAAAACTATTTTGGAAGTAAGGATGACACGTAAGCGTCACATAAGCATTTAAGAAAGTAATGGAAGTAAGTTTTTCAAAGAACCAAACATGTTTTTTTGCTTGGAAATAACAGAAGTAGCCTTTACTTCTTTTACTTCAGCTACTTCATAATTACTTTCGTGCAAACAAACGGGCCCTAAGCCTGGTAAATTTTGGTTTTTTTGTGGTACTTAGTAGCATAATTATGGTAATTTCAAGTAATTATTTTTTCTACTGACTTGGTTATGGTAGAGAAAAGTTAGAGAAGTTTGTGTTTTGCTTAATTCAGAAATGAGCATAAGAGAAAAATATGTTGTGCTCGGAAAAACATAAGACTGGCATTAGAGCTATACATGTTGATTTCTTTTTCAGGTAGGCCCTCTCTAAATTTACCCGTGTATTAGTCTGAAGCTCATAATATCAGCCTAGTAATTCAGTCTTTAACTCCAAATAAAATTTATATAAAATATAGGTTGTTTATGTATATACCTCTGAAATTAACAGTATTTGAAAGTTTACCTGAAGTCTAGATATCTGTATTCTTTTGATGCAAGACTTGAATACACAGTAAACATCACAGGCAACATGTAGATCTTTTCCTAAATTCAAATTTGTTGGTAGGGCCTCCTTTGTTATCATTTCTCCATAAATTCAAGTTTACCTCTTTCTCCATAACTCAAAACATGTAAAAGAGTTTGATGTTTTATTCTACTGGTATGAACATAAATTAAATGATCTAGAAAAATTAATGAAACTGGCGCATCTCTTAAGGAGTTGTTAATATAGTAGTTGTGTTATCTGCTTAGTTCAAAATGCTAATTTGAAGGAAAGTTTTCTTTGTAGGTCAATGGTTGCTAGAATTGTCACAAATTCGTGAAATAACAGAGGTTTCAAGCTTCAGTGAGAATGCTAAGTTTTATTTGGAGGATATTATTAGCAACTTTAGTAAAGATGATGCGTTGGAAGTGAAAATTTTTGAAAAAGTTACTGACCATTATGTTAAAGCAGTCGAGTACTTCTTGAAACAGAGATGTCAATCCAATACAGAGATTGCTGAGGTCAGGTTCTTGATATTCTCTGCTTTGAATAATTTTTATAGAGGTATGATCATGTTTTCTCTGAAAGATTTCATCTAATACTTAGTATTTTGTAAAATATAGTTTCATCATTTTTTGTAATACTAAATCTAACTAAATCTTTCTTTTCTCAGGTACTGTTTGTAAAATATAGTTTCATCATTTTTTGTAATACTAAATCTAACTAAATCTTTCTTTTCTCAGGTACTGGAATTTTTCCATTTTGCGTGTTCATCAGAGGATATAAATAATTAGGCCCATGCTTTGGCACTAAAGGGAGCATTCGACACTGTCATATTCCTGATCATGATTGAGTTGGTGAAAGCATATCCAACCTGGCAAAGGAAAATTCTCATATACCCTTGTGGTCTCGCACCCGTGGATAGGTATTTGATTAAATTTTAGATATTTGGTAATTTACTTGCCCAACTCTGAGCAGGAAACAATTAGTATTGAGTACAAATCCAGCTTCTTATCTCATTGTACAGATTTAAAATACCAAGTATTTTATTCCCAATAAATTCCTGTTTTTATTGGTATTTGCATGAGAACGCATTTTCATTTATTTATTTGTTAGGTAGAAGTAACAAAAGGACATAGCAGTATTTTTGTTTCTTTTTCCTGAAATGGTGAAACACAACTAAAAAATCTATAAAGTTAATTCATGTTTTGAAAGGTAGCTGCAGAGATACTAGACTCTGAATCAAATATTTCAATGTCATCTTGTATTAGAAAGGTAACATGTACTCGCTAAATGTGTGATATTTGTCATCGGGATAATGTGAAATCTGGACTCCAGCTAGCTTCAAGTATCTAGATAATTAAGTTGCTTTTGTTGTAGGTCGATGTTGATCAAGTGGTTTAGTTTTATTTTCAGCTAGAAAGTAGCTAGATAATTAAATTATCTAGCTTCAAGTAGCTAGATAATTAAATTGCTCACCATCTTTTATAAAGGGTCTTCTTTATGGATCAGTTTGTACATATATTGATGCATTGCTTGTGTCCTTTATAAAGGGTCTTCTTTATGGATCAGTTTGTACATATATTGATGCATTGCTTGTGTCCTTATGTTACAAACAGGATGATGAGGAAGAAGGTGAAGAAGGAGAAGAAGAGGGCTTGAGTAAATATATAGGGAAGGAGTTGAAGAAGCTTCTACAATGTCATAGCCATTGTAAATAATTTATGTAAAAGTTTGTAAACAATTTATGTATCTTTCTACTATTTTGGTGAATGTATTATTTGAATATAATTGGATTTGATATTGGAATATAATTAGATTGTGTTGGATATGAATATAATTTTTTGTTGTTCAATATTGTGTACATGCACTCAAAGTAGATTCTTCAAAAAAAAAAACTACTGTAGCATAGCATCCTAGACGAAAATTCCGTCTAGGATGCTCAAATTCCATCCAGAATGCTTTTTTTTTAAATTAAAAAAATAAAAAACGTAATTTTCGTCTAGAATGGGTATCCTAGATGAAAATTTCCGTCTAGGATAACCATTCTAGACGGAAATTTTTTTCGTCTAGGATGTATTCTAGACGGAATTTCCGTCTAGAATACTACATCCTAAACGGAAACTTCCTAGACGCGTATTCTAGACGGAATTCCGTTTAGGATACTCATCCTAGACGGAATTCTAATTTTCCGTCTAGGATGCATCATTTTTTAGTAGTGGAAGTTTCCTTTGACCCAAACAGGAAACCTAAAGGATAGCTTAGTCTAACTAAATCACAAGAATGTTTATGAGCCATGTTTTTTTTTTTTTTTTGTTACTTACTGATGAAGGTCATATATATATACCTCACAAACTCAACACATCAGATGTCATCTAACAAAATCTTACATAGTTTCTCTTCCATGTCATCTACCAGGAAACAAGACTTAAGTTTGATCCTAGTAGAATTTGTTATAAAATTAGGAGCTAGATGTGAGAAACCTTGTTTGATTGTTGTCAAGGAAACAGGTACAAAACAAAAATATGAGAAAAATAGCATACAATATTCCCTAATCAAGCCTATATATATTGTTTTGTTTTGTTTTTATTGGTATTCTCGTAAGAGAACATATTTTTCGCCTCAACTGAATATGTATATGTACATGTACATCATCGATCGAAAACATGAGATATTCACCTCAACATATAATTCTGTCCCAAAATCTTTATTAACATGTAAAAAAAGAATTTAATCGAAGTTACCAACCAATCCCTCATTGCTCATTCACGCATCTCCGCAATCTCCTCTACCACACGCCTCCTACTCCTATCAATAGTTACCAAACACAAGTAAACATGCTCTTCAAGCTCCTCCAACTGCTCCTCCAGCCCTAGCCCTACCTCCCCTCCTCTCCCCTCCATCTCCTTCACCACCTCCTTCACCATCCCCCATTCCCTATTCCTCAGCACCATCCTCCCCGTGTCTCGCCCGTGCTCCACCTCATCGTGCACTCTCCTCACCATCTGGCTTATCGTATCCAAATCTCTTCCTACAATATAAGCCCCCTTGGCCGCTGCATCAACCCCAGGTTCCAATCTCTTCAAACCCTTGAACCACTTTCCTGGCCCTCTTGAACGGGTGGTTGTACTAGTCGCTACTGCTATTGGCGCTGCAACCACTGCAGCCAATCCATGAGACGCAATAATCACCGCTGCGACCAATGTTGCACTTACCAGAGCAACAATGATCACACCGGATGCTTTCTTGGTAAAATTTACTAGCTTCAAGATTCGAAGGATCTTGCGGTGACAGGAAGTGAGATGACGGATCAATGTGGGGTAGCGAGAGTGGACTTGATGAAAATGGGTTAGGGTTTTGGGGGAAAGAGGGTTTTCAAGCTCAAGATCAGAGGATAATTGAGTGAACGATGAAGAAGAGGAGGATAAATAGGAGGAGGAGGAGGAGAGGGAGAGGAGGCAGCGGTGGATGGAGCGATGGTGGGACCGAACGTGGTCTATGGCTGAGAGGAGGGAGGCACATGCCTCAATTGCTTGAAATGTGGCGTCGAAGAAGTCATGGAGAAGCTTGTTGAGGTGGAGGGTGAACCCGTTGGAAGTGAAGTTAAGGGAAGGGGAAGTGGAAGCGAGGAGTTGTTCTTGCATTGGTTTGAGGAGGAAGTCAGGGATTTGATAGAACTTCTTATAATTCTTCTCTTGATCTTCATCTTGTTCTTCCATTTTGGGAGATCGTATGACGATGTTGGAGGATGTCTGCAGCTGATTGTGTAGTCTTGAGTAAATGTCAGCGTATGACTTTGTGTGGAGAGCTTTGTTGTATTCATCGTCGATGGCATTTTGTTGCATTTCTTCTTCACGTTTGTAACCTGAGGAGTGGAAGGATGCGGATGAGCAAGGATGAGAAATTAATCAAGAAAAGCAATGCGATTTCTTGTTAGATGAATCAAACTAAGCTAATTGTATTGTGAGACTTGGGAGGCAAGTAAACCTAATTACCTAGTGTGAACTAGCAAGAGGAAACAAAAGCATAGAAGAGAACCTTTACAGTTGTGCTAACCATAACTTTCACATTACTTATTAAGTTATTTTGTCCAAGTGGAAAAAGATTACTCCTAGCATAAATGCAGATGATTAATCTCATGTAGAAAAGATAAGGGAACATAAATATACTGCTATAAGAACTTTTAGTTACCTCACGGAAAAAAATGTCAACATTTAGTTGGTTTATCTGAGAAGCAATTTTTCTTTAAATGGTACCTCGATCCATATGGTTGTAACTTATTTCTAATATAACTAACATCAAATTCTAATTATAACTTTAATTTTCAATTCAAGATAAAGCATAAAAAAATTAAGTAGAAAACTGAACGAACTTGATTATATGTGTTCTAACCTGAACTTGGAGATGACACCTTTCTGAGTGAGGATTTGGATGAGGATGACGGCTTCAACTTAGCCCACATAATTTATTTTCTACTTGGATCCCAAATGAGTTCTTAATTTTTTTTTTTATATCTACAGTTGAATGATGAACGATCGAAGACGACCGAGAGCAATGGCCCCATATTTATAAGAAAAGAATGGAGAAGAGAGAGCGAGAAAATTTCCTCTCCATTTCCTTAACATCGACGAATCCACGCGTCGTCGTCTCATAACTTGCCGTGTGGTCTTGTGTCATTATTTTACGCTAATCTCCTTTTCCGTTAATTTCATCCTAACCCTTCATCAACTTTGGTCCTTGGATAGAAAATTGATGGATGGCTGCGATGACTCAGCACCGTTTCCAACCCCATGCCTTTACGCATTCGGTGCATTCGGAAACAACAGCAAATAAAGTGCAATAAGCAAACCTCAACCGCATTCATTTCACGCAAGCTAGCTTATTTTTCATATACTTATTCCACCTGTCACAGTTTTTTGCAGTAGTCGCTGTTCAAATTTTCTTTTATAGCTCTCTCTCTCTCTATCTCGGTGTCAGTGTTGCGGTTCTATAACGAACCGGGAAAGGGTCAACAAATAGATTTGCTAGAATTGAAAACGTGTCAAATTATCTTGTGGGAAAAAAGATTGCATGCATGTCCAGTCTGAGGGTAAATTAATAAGCAGTATTGTCAATTAAGGGGCTGTTTGGTTGGTTTCCTAAACATCAAGAAAAAGAAATCGGTACAAGAAAATCAATAAAATAATATTTTATTCATTTTCATTCCTAAAACTCACCCACAACATCCAATAAAATATTATTTTTATCATCCAACTCATCTCATTTCATCTCCTTTCTTACCTTTAAAAATAAACCAAAAACAAAAAATGTGTCACATCATCCAACTCATCACTTCTCATCTTATCTCATTTTTAAAAATCACACACATCATCCAATAATATTGTGACAATTCATCACATCTCATTAAACCTTCATTTCCATCCATTTCCTAAAAAAAACAATAAATTGATTTCCTTAAGTATGTGTCACATCATCCAATAATATACCTTCAACTCATCTCATCTCATGTATTTTCTTATTTTTAAAAATGAACCAAACACAAACAACCTCAAAACATCATCCAATAATACACCTCCAATTCATTTCCTTATTTTTTTTAACCAACCAAACAACCTCAAAACAAGTTTTTTTAAAAATCACTCACATCATCTAATAATAAGGTGACAACTCATCTCATCTCATCTCCTATTCTATAATTTCCTTCTTTTTTAAACCAACCAAATAACCTCAAAACAATTATTATAGGAAATAGGTTTTCTATTCTTTGATTTCCCAAATATTTTTGCGAAACGAACAACCCCTAACCCAAATCCCAGAATATTTCTGCTGGAGCAAGAAGTTTCACTCGGATTCCCTTTTATTCACAAGATATGATGACGGTGACACCCCCAGGTATGTAACTTGGCAAATGGGCTCTAGACCTGCCGGGTCAGACTGAACCCGCCCTGATGATTTTGGGTTTGTGTATACGTAAGTATAGATTGGAATCAGATCAATTGGCTAGCACTTTCTGGAATAGATTCTCCTTGGAGGAACTTCAAGCATATGCATGTCAGGCATGAGCCTTAAATAGAGACTTGGGACCAAAATCTAAACTAAACTGGACTTAGACCATCCTCTCCCCACATCTTCAGGCTTTAGATTGGGCTTTAGTTTTCAACCATAAATATTGACTCTTACACCTATTCTTAATTGAGTTTATCTTAGGCCCAACTAGGAGTTAATAAGTCCGATAGAGAGTTAGGAATGAATTTTGAGGGTGTTTAGGGGCTTATATATATTTTGCTTTGTCAACGCAGCTTTTAAGCTAGCTTTTCTATATCTACCTTTTGATAAATCCCCAATAGGCTACGTTGTAGATCTCATTTAAAAAAGATGAAATTCCCCAACTTTTGAAATTTTAACTTATAAGCTTATCTAAATAAGTGAGGTATGATGAAATAAATGACAATTCTATCCCCACAACTTGTATAAAGTTTTAATCAAAAAAAAAAAATCAAAACCCATAAAAAAAGCAAGTATAAGTTATAAATTTCAAAAAAAAAAATAAACTCTCCTAAATAACCAGAAGGTTAAGCCATTAAATATCAGCACACCTTCTATTTAAGCTCATTATTCTTTCTTTCTTTTCTAATATGGGATTATATAGCACTTGAACATCCCAATAACATGGAGATCTTTATTATCAAACTATAATATGAGACAAGTGATCCCATCTACTAATGAACTAGTATTTTAACCCTGGCCATACCTTCCTATTTTGATCTCTTGCCTAAAAGAAGACTATTCAAAACACGTTTACCTCTTCCAATACCTATCTTATAGTACTTTTAGCCCATTCGAGGAACCGACCATATCTCACTATTTTGATATCCCGCTTTCGTAAAGAATCTCAAAATTGCATTTATCGTTTCTAGTACCTATCTTATATTTGTATGAATATCAACAACTAATTACAATAATTCTCAAAAAATAGAAATTTGATAAACTCTTACCTTGGAGGGAGCAAATGAGTGAGAGAATGCATGAGTGCGATGTGAGTGTACGAGTCATAGTGAGGGACTCAACGATGAAGGCGGACAAGTTGGTAGAGAGGGCTGTGACTCCTTTAATTCCACATAAGGCTGCAGTCTAAGATGAACCCAAGGATGTCAAACCTGCCATGCACCCACACAGTGTAATAACACATTTCACCATCACAGTAATATCTCTCTAGTGGAATCAAATAAGAACACTGTAGGTACAAGCAGATGCGAGAAAAGTTTAAAATACCAAAGGAAAGAAATATCCAAAGAATATGATCATGTTCCAACTGAATAAAAAGAGTGCAACTGATGAACTGAAATAAATATAAAATATCTCAATACATAGAGTCAATTGAAATAGTACTAAGGCTCCTAGCCTCCAAAATGAAATACAAGTCTATAAATCAACTAAACAAATACTAAAGTAATATGGAGCATAAGCTGTCTATCAAAAAGTAACAGCGACTATGAAGATACTCCGTCAACCTGTAGCTCTCTGAAACTCTGATCCGCTACCTAAAAAGATGGGAAAATAATAACGTCAGAGCGCTAGCAAGATCATCTCCATCCGCCCACAGAGAGAGGACTGCTACGTGTGATGGAGGCTCTATCTATATATGCATAGTCTACCTAAATCATTTACCCTGTACTAAATAGGGTTAATACTTAGAACCTCATAACACGAGACTAGTACGTTAAGCGAAATAATCCAAACAAGAAAACTCTCATGTATATATCATATGTCTCAAATTGTGAATCGCTAAATATTAACTCCAAAACTAAGAATAAAAGAATAAAGGAATGCAATACTAAAATGTCAACCAAACCAAGTCATATATATCAACCCAATATCTCATACTACCATTGGGTAGTTAATACGAATACCAGTATATAATTTTGTGTAATCCACAATACCATATAGCCCGTCACAATATAACTCAATGGTGAACCATATACATGAACGATCTCTCGCTCAAGACTCAATCGTCATACATTTCACAATGCTATCACTTGTAAAGTTCTATGATATCATCGCATCACTATGCGGAATGGACTACTTGTTCAATCATCCTAAGTAAATATTGCCCACTAGCCTCATCACATCAACGTGCAGAACAGACTACCTATTCAGGTATCCTATAGGTACGACTCATTAGCCTCGTCACGTCACCATGTGGAACAAACTGTAGCCTCAGACATCCTCATCGCATCACCATGTGGAACGGACTGACTCCTCAGGCATCCTATAAATACAGCTCACTAGCCTCATCGCATCACCATGCGAAACAGACTACATATTCAGACATCCTGCAATTACGGCTCAATGGCCTACTTCAACGGTATACCGACGCACTACCTTAAGCTGTACTGAGCTGTGCCCATCAACGGCATCCATACACACATATATATTGTTCTAACAAATCGTCTCCCCGTCGTGGTAAAAATAATACACACAACTATCCCCTTCCTGAAGTTTGTGTGTGCTAAGCCTTCATAGGTGTATGCCTATGTCGTACGTGTAAAATTGTTGTACATCTTGAACCCTGTGTTTACAAACAATGTGCAAGAAAAATCATCACAAATAGACATGATGTCGGTTGACTGCCCTAGGGCATTGGTCAACCGACGGCTAATTCGCATAAACATGCATAAAAACAAGTTTCGGTCGAATAAAGAATTACACAAACTCAGGGTGGGATCGATCGACCAATGCACAGGGTTCGGTCGACCGACCAGAGTCCAGAACTCAGGTTTGAGTCTCATGATGTTAAGATATTTTCAACAAAAAGAACTTATAGAACATCATTATGGGGTATAAAAACATGTTTAATCATGTATTTAACATAGTAGGGTTTGACTAAACAATTATTTATTATCATAACATGATCTTTGGGGCTTAAAAAAGTACTTTAAACATAACTAATCAGATTAAGTTTGTACAATTAGGGTTCAAAACCTAATTAGTTCATCATCTTAGCAATTAACCACGGTTCTAAACATCGAATTAATATCTTTCTTAATGTTTGTCAAATCATCTTATTTCTAAGCTTCTTACCCTCTCTAGCAAGAATACAAAATAGAATCTCAATGTTTGTCAAATCAGCCTGAATCTCTAAGTCTGGTGCGTCAAACATTCTCTGCTGCTCCTCATCGCATAAATTCTTCTTGATCATCGAAACCTGGAAAACATCGTGTACACCCGACATTAATGCAGGATGATCTAGTTGATACGAAATAACTCCAACACGCTCAATGATCCTAAATGGTCCTACGTAACTTGGGGCAAGCTTTTCCCATTCACTAAATCGTTGAACACCCTTCATCGGCAATACTTTCAATAAAACATAATCTCCAACTTGAAACTCTAAAGGTCGTCGCCTCTAATCTGCGTAGCTCTTTTCCCGACTTTAGGTGATAAGAATATGCTCCTAAATCAACGCTACCTTTTCCGTAGTTTATCCTATCCAACCAAATCTGGTCCAAGTAATAAGATATTCCATAACTCTATCGAACAA